ATAAATCTAAAATATAATTTATATGTTTAAAAATATTTATATATACTTATTTTAAATATAATTTATATATTCAAATATAGTATTTTTTTTATACAACATTTTATAAATTTTAATTATATTATATATAATAAACATGTTTGCGTATTACATTTATTAAAATACTAATTTTTTTAAATAAAAGTATTATCTATTTTGGATAAAATGGTTAATAGAGATATCCATGAATCCTAATTAAAAAAACAACAAATAAAAAAAAGAGAGAAGAGATACTCCATAAATATAAGGTTGTCAACTATATACGGAAAATGAATTTCAATTAATATTTATTTTGTTCTTATTATGGATAAATTAATTTTACTAAAATCGATATAAATCAATCCCTTTTCAAGGTGAGTGCTAATTTTTCTGATTTTGTTTCATATGTATTCATGGTAAATAAATTTAATATGATTCGTTAAAAATATGTAATTAGTGAAATGTTATATTTAAAAAAATGTTTTAAAATAACCGATAATTAATGTTAAGGCTTACAATTCATAAAAGGTTATATTAATTTACTCAATGTACTTAATTCAGAAAGGGTTTAACGTGAATGCAAGTAACGGTTTTGCGATTATTGGAAAAGGTTAAATGGTACATAAATGTATTTGGATGATTGGATGTAACTAAGTACGACTGAATGATGTCTTAATTATAAGTAATATAAGCTAAATTATTTAAAATTCAGAAAAATAATTAATATAATTTCTAATTAATTATACAATAAATTTTAATTTTATGTAAAATAAACTCTTTACTTAGTGATTGTTATAATAATGAAGGATATAAAAAAAATTTAATTCAAAATAAATTTAAAAATTAATAATTATTACTTATAATTAAAAAATATAATTTATTACTTATAATTATAATTAGTAATATCTATCAGAATTGCGTATTGATTACATGTGCATGATTATGATACTCATTTAATTTACTAATAAATAATATATTAAAATAATTTAAAATATTAATTACATGATTATTTTTTTTGGTAAAGATAAAAAAGATTATAAAGATGATCGCAACAAAGATTGAACCTAGGTCATCATGCTTCTAATTATCATTTGATAATATGATTTTCATTTAATTAGTTTTTAAAATAACATTAATTATACACCGTGAATTTCAGTCTTCATTAATTATATATGTGTATATTTTTCAGCAATGATATTTATATTAGATAGGTAAATATTCTACATGAATATCTTGGAAAAAAGAGAAAAATCTTACAAAAATACTTTTATGGTCCGTGTGTTTGGATGAGGAATTTTACAAATTCAAGAAATTTTAAATTTTTGGTATTTGAAATACTTTGATTTCAATTTTTATTATTCTTTAAATATTCTGTTTGGATAAATCAATTCAATTTTCTCAAATTTTAAATTATTAAGTTTGATATGATAATTTGATTCCACCATGATAAAATTGATTTTAAAAATATATTTATATGTTGAGATTTTTAAATTAAATTTTATAAAAATAAATATTAGCTAATTTTTAAATATTTAATAATTTTAAAAATTAATATTAGATAATATTTAATAATTTTAAATATTCAATAATTAAAAACATGAAGAGATAAGAGATAAGATAAAATATTTAAGTGAAATAAGAATAAAAAAATATGAGAAATTTCAAATTCTTACTCTTTTGAAAGAATTTGAAATTCTACTAATTTAAGGAATTTCACAAATACTTAAATTTCAAATTCTTTATAAATTCATCATCCAAACAAGGTATTTCACCTCAAAAAATTTAAAATTCTTCAAATAAATGAATTATTCCATTTAAATTTTTCATCCAAACATATTATTAAGTAAAATCAAATACCATATATGATCAATTTAGAATTTAAAGAGGAAAAATATCCTAAACTGATCATATGCCGCCAAAAAAGAGAGAAAAGAATGTAATGTTTGGTTCAATTTATTATTATCATTAATAAAGAATAATGTTTTTATTATAAAATTTTAATAAAAAATAACATCTTTTTAGTATATAAAATAGAAAATTTAATTACAAGATAAATAAATTATATTTTTACATTATTTATCTAGAACGTTATTTTCCTTCTAACTTCAACGTTGAAATGTTATTGCAAGTATTCACCTAAAACTTTATACGAAAAGAAAAAAAGATTTTCAACTTCAAACAAGAATTTGGATGAACTTAATATTTAGTAAATACAGCATTGTTCTAAAAACACTACAAAAAAATAGGTAATTACTGGCGGTTTTTTTTTTGCGGTTTCCCTAAACCGCCAAAATTTTTTACATTTGTGGTGTAGATGGCAATGGCTACAAATTAATGATACTTTCTGGCGATTTTAAACCGCCTGAATGGTCATCATTAGAAGTGTTGGCACTTTCTGGCGGTTTCATGTTTACTGAATCTGAAAATGTCAATGACATTCAGGAAGACATGCTTAATGATATTTGTGATAAAGCTACTCAAGTAAGTTTAATTTACTTCAAATAAAAGTCATTTATCATTATGTAATATGTTTTATGTAATTGTGAAAGCACTATCAATATTTATCTAAATCAATCAATCAGGACGAAATATGTAAAATTATCTTTTAAGGATACTGATTCTCACAGATTTGTTAGTAATTTACATTATCCGGGAAAAAAGGTTAAGCCTAGTTCAGTCATCCTTATCTAGTGGCATGCAGGAGTAAAAAAATAATAGAAAAAGGAAAAAAGTAAGATTGATGTAAGAATGCAATAGTAGTTGGGGTGGGTAAAATGAACTGAACCGAACTAAATTTATAAAAATTATACTGAACTTAAAAATAGTTCTCATAAATTGAACTAAACTGAATATTAGTTCAAACGAATTGAATTGAACTGTTCTTTTGTATCATTGAATTAAACTGTTCTCTCTCAGTAATTTAAACAGAGATCACTCAAACATCTGTTGTATATGCATTTTATCTTTCCTTCTCAAGTCTATGGTTTATTCATACTTAAGCCTCTGTATGAAGGCAGATACCATTATCTCTAAGAACTTTGTAAATTTAATAAAATAGTTGCAAGTAGCTTGTTAATGTTATTCGTAGCTTTTCAATTAAACCAAATTGTGAGAGAAATGGTAAACAAGGAACTTATGTCAAAGCATAACGACAGTAGTACCTTCCCCTTTTATTACAGGAACCTTCTGAGTCGATGGACAATGTGGTTGGCACTAGTATGGCTTCAGAAAGTATGGCAATTGAAAAGACATCAGAGGAAGTCCAAAATAATGGATCCAGCCAATCTGTCAAAGCTGAGATAACAGAAGAGCAGAGAGCTCGTATGGAAGCAAATCGGTTGAAGGCACTACAAAAGCGTGCTGCTCTAGCCGGCTTTTCGCAGGCCTCCCAAATTTGATATCAATTGTAAATGAAAACACTCTTTATCGTTGTCTCAGTACCGGTTATGCCCCCCCACCCAAATGAATTATAGTTTATTTTTTGGTTTGGTGAGTCGGTGACAATGTTATATACCCGCTTGTGAGCATGATTTGTCATAACAGTAAATGGATTCTTGTCGATTAGCTTCATGTTTAAGTTTTAAGCGCCGGGCTTACTTAATTTGTTTGGGGGCACCTTATCCCTATTTACAGTACTATTTAGAGAGCTTGATAAAGATTGTGTCACGCTGTCAACCACTTGGGGGCAATTTACTGACTTATAGACTGTAGAAGTAAACAGTGACATAGCATAATGCTATGTGTAAGCCAAATTGAATATCATCTACTCATACATGTATTTGATGAAGTTACAAAAAGTAGTTGGTTCCTGTAAAATGTATAATTTAAATGTTAAGTGTGGTTGACAGTTGACGCTATGATATTATACTTACTATATCCTTGCTCACCCCAGTTTAACTAAAAAAATAAAATTAAAAGTTCCCTTCTCAATCCGTGTCAGATCCTGAATTGATGAATTGTGTCACTTAATATATAACTAGGAAAAAAAAAGTCTATCATCTATTTCTTTCTTTTTTGTGAAAAGGAGAACATATGCAATTATCGTGCTAATTTGACGAACTTTTAACTTTTGATACTCAACTCAACAAGGTAAAAATACCAGCTGCGGTTGCTTCGGCCGTGTAATTGACCGATCTGATCAATTTCTCACACGGAATTACGGGACGTTAGTAAGTCTTGTGGACGAAGTGTAAGCGAGAGTAATCATGGGAGATGAGGCTAAGAGGGACTAGAACCAAATAGGATCAAGTAGAGGTCAAACAGGATTGTCGGAGCAGTTGACTACAGTCTAGGGGTCGTCGAAAAACATCACGTATGGAAACTGGTCGTGCGCATGAACATTAACGTGATAAAAGAAATTCTAAGCTCCATGTACCATGTTGTGATTTAGGAATTGTGTATTAAGAGGTGTATTGAATTAAGATTTCGAAAAATAATTTTAGCATGAAATTTTTTTAAGAATTTTAATAGATTTTAAAAGATTTTATAAGGATGTTGTGATTTTTAAGATTTTTTTAAAGACTTTTAAAACTTAGATTTTAATCAAGATTTTGTAATTCAAATTCTAGTGAATTTTAATGAATTTATATTATAAGATTTTAAAGGATTTTATGAATTTTACATGAAAATATAGATTTATAATATTATAAAATTTAATAAAAAAAATATAACATAAATAAGAAAAAAAAAGTAAAATCAACACAATTTTTTTTAACAAATAATTATTTCTATCTTTTAACAAATAATTGACTTTACTATTTTCTTAACTAACATTTCTTTACATATCTAAAGTTATAATAGTCCCTAATGTATTAATAAATTCTCTTTCATGCACTTGAATCAGAATAATATATTTAAAATTATGTTCTTCATTAATCGGTAGTATTAAATATGAAGATTCATCCATTAATTCACTTGAAAATTCATTAGAATGTCATTCTTTGTGAAAAAAAAATTCTCTTAGACAGAAATAGTCCTTGACTTAAAAATTGTAAAGCGTGAATTAAAAGTATTAAATATTCTCTCAATTACATTTCTTAAAAATGTATGATATAAATTAAAAACTTCATTTTCATTTTGAGGGTCATTACCATGACCTGCAAAATCTTCTTAATATATGTTTCAAAACTTTATATTTCAATATTAAATTTTATTAAAATAAACAATTAAATTTTAATAATTTAAAAATTAACAATATATAATATTTAATAATAAAAAATCATTTTAAATATTTAATAATTAAAAAAATAAATATTGATAAATTATGCATCAATTGATAGATAAAAAAATAGGAGAAGAAGAAGAGATGAATAAAAAGAGAAAGAAAAAAAAGACATAGTTGAAAGAGAGAGAGGAAGAGAAGCAAGAAAGGTGACAGAGAAGGAGAGAGAAAAAATAATATGAGACAAAACAAATAGATATAAAAGAGAGATAAATAAAAAGAAAATGAGAAAATGAAATAGAGAAAAAAGAATAAAGAGAGGTAAGAACGACGAGAAAGAAGGAGAGAAAAACAAAGAATATGAAAGAGAAGAAAAAACATTAGAGAAAATATTTAAGAGAGAAAAAGAAATTAAAAGTAGGAATAGAAGAGAAAAAAATCATGCGAAATCTCAAAGATTTTGGTGAGATTATTTTATGAGTGAATTACATATAATCAGGACGAAATATGTAAAATTATCTTTTAAGGATACTGATTCTCACAGATTTGTTAGTAATTTAAATTATCCGGGAAAAAAGGTTAAGCCAAGTTCAGTCATCCTTATCCAGTGGCATGCAGGAGTAAAAAAATAATAGAAAAAGGAAAAAAGTAAGATTGATGTAAGAATGCAATAGTAGTTGGGGTGAATCACACATTTTTTTTGTTGTGAAAATTGTATGTCTTCGTACTAATAATCAGAACATGTGATATTTTGAAATTTTTATTTCTTATACAACATTTCTCTTTTTCTGTGTCTTATTTGTATGCTATTTGATCTTTTCCTTCTAAATTTTGGTTTTTGCTAATTACACTACTAATCTTTTCTGTGTGTCTAATTTGTATGCAATTAATTATTACTCAGCGGATCGAATAGTGTGGAAGAATCTTTCTGATCGAAAAAAGTTTTTTTTAAAGGATATATAGATTAATAGATAAGAAGATAAAGATTTGTTTCATTCGTTTGTGGAAGAAAAAAAAAATCTGTAAGAACTTATTACACCTACTTTTGTAAAATTTTATTTATATATTTGCTATATTTTCATTTAAATAATATAAAAATAAAAATATCTAAAAGAAAGTAACTTAAGAACTAAATTACAATTTTAATAAAATATATGATGTTAATTTTGTTATTTAATTATTACAATAATTAATATATATTTTAAAGAAATTAAAGAAATTAATGAGTGATGTATACATGTCACTCCATTTACCTTAAAGAAACTGCAACTCTGATCTGCGAGGCTTATTCAGGGACAGGCAGTGACATCTCTATCATGAACGAGAAAATTTATAATCTAATTAATTCTAAACATAACGAGCTTTCTTAACAATAATCGAAATGAAAGCCGCCGAAACACTCACCAATTAAAATTCAACTGGCATCAGTCAGCACCTTTCATTAAATCATCGTCATATGCAAAGGAAAATGATTTATGGACACTTTATGTTAGCAGATCTTCACAGAGAGAGATAAAAGAATCAAAATCGCATGTACAGCCGTTAAAAAATAAGTCCAGATACCTGTGTATCTTTTCAAAAATATAAATAAAATAAAAGTGAACAATTAATAATTAAAAATCTTAATAATATTTAGATAATTGTAATTATAACAATATTTTTCACTACAAGAAATGTTACATATAGTGACATACAAAAAAGTGTCACTTGTGTGTCACTATAGATACAATATATATATATATATATATATATATTTATTTGACATATAATTACACACAATTTTAGTATTGATTTTAAATGAGATTTAACATGTTTTATGTGTCACTATAGTTTATATCCACAGTTTTTAACAATATATCAACATAAATATATTTTTTATGTGGATAAAAATAATTTTTAGTGACATGTATAGTGTCACTATAAGGTATATGTTACTATATGATAATTTTCTTGTAGTACTTGAAAAATAATAAAGAAAAAAATAGTTAAAGAAGTAATTACATAGAAGTAAAATTATTTTAAAAAATATTATAAGAAAATTATCGTATAATGACACATATTTTATAGTACAATAATATTTATTATTAAAAATTATTTTGACTCACAAAATTAATATCCACAATATATGTTGATATATTATTAAAAAATATAAGTATAAATTATAGTAACACACAAAATATATTATTAAATTTTATTTAAAATTGATATTAAAATTAACTATTTATCAAATAGATATATATCTACATATATTATATTTATAATAATATTTTTTTATGTCAGTATGTAATATTTATTATATATATACACAAAATGAGATTATTTTTTTTATTAGTATAAATAATATGATAAAAAATTATTAAAAAAAATGATAGATAATGTCAATGATAAGTTTACCCTGTTATAATATTATATATAATTGCTTGAAAGCACAAATTCCACCATTGCCATTGCATTGCACTTTTCTCTTCTTTTACCCATCTTTTCTTCCTTAACTTGAGTCACTCTCAGTCTGTCGTATAATATTCAATATGCTACCGTGTTTCAATTCAGAATTATTTTGCTGTTTAACAAAACCTTATCCTAACAAGTAACAATAACCCAGTTAGGCAATAAAGTTACACAAAAAGAAAAAAGAAAATACTCATTTCCACTTTATAACATGAAACGTGTGGCAGATAGCAGTTTGTTACTTCCCTTTCATTTTGGTGTAAGGAAGGAAATTTTTCTTTCCCTTGCGAATAATAATCTTGTCAAGCCAAAATATTTGGATAAAAATGTTGTAAAATTTAAAGTAGTTCTCCGAATAACACAAAAAGACATTACTACGGAGGTAGTTCACGTCGAATAAATTAATAAAGCCACTTTAATTGTGTATACTGTTTAGTGAATAAAAAAAACTGTTTCTTAGGTGATTTGGTTTTGTAATTTATTTTGCATCACCCTTATTTATGCCAAACTCTAGATAGTTCGTGACAAATAAACAAGGGCCACGTTGTGCATCATACTGTTTGGTATATCCAAAAAACTGTTTCTTATTAGGTGGTTTGGTTTTATGATTTACTTTGCATAGTGACGCCTTTGTTTTTAAATTTAGTGTTTATATATATTAATGCTTTTAATTTTATTTTTTTTATGGAAACAGTTAAGAAATTTCAAAATAAGACATCAGTGTATATATAAAATTATATTCATATTTGTATTTTTATAATTAAGAGAAAATATATATAAATTATTTTATAAGAATGTCGATACCTTTTTTTTTTTTTTTTTTTTTTTGAATTGAAAGGTCTTCTGTGGGAGGAAGAACCAATTTCAAAAGGTCTTATCCCTTTTGACTCCTCCAATAATTATGGCAAGTGCGTGAGAAGTTGGAAAGCATGTCATGCAATGCAAATCCTCTTCCAATGAGGACCCAATTCACTAAATATATCCTCACAAGACATTATTCTATACATGCATGCTTGTCTTCTACACACT